GACACAGGGATCTGGGGGGACACAGGGATCTGGGGGGACACAGGGATTTGGGGGGACACAGGGATTTGGGCCTCACCATCTCCTGCACCACGTCGTTGGTGAGGAACCCGTCCGGGATGTAGGTCACCTCCACCTCCATGGGGATGCCGTAGTCGTTGGGCCGTTGCTGGAGGACGGGGTGGGGGTGTCACAGGGGTGTCACGGGGGTGTCACAGCAGTGTCACAGGGGTGTCACGAGGGTGTCACACCCACCCTGCGGGGGGACACCCCACCCCAAACCCTCCCCCGGGCTCACCTCGGGCGGCGGCATCACCCAGAAGGGAGCGATCCGGGACTCCACGCCGGGGTTGCCGTGGAAGTAGGGCCCTGCGGGGACAGGGGGGGATGGCACGGGGTGGGACGGCCCCCTCAGCCCCCCGAGGTGCCCGCGGGGGACGGGCACGTACCGCAGATGAGCCCCAGGCAGGGCTGGAAGCCGTTGCCGCTGCCCTGCAGCTTGAGCTGATAATCCATCTGCGCGTCGATGTCGTGCAGCGAGGGCAGCGCCGGCCCGAAGGGGTGGCTGTGGTACCACCCCACCAGCGACAGCCCCCGCAGGAACAGGCTCTGGCAGATCTGGGGCGGGCACACAGCGTGGGCACGGCACCCCCGGGACCCCCCACCCGGCCTCTTCGGGGAGGGGCAACACACCCCTGGCAACACAGTGACCCTTTTTGGGGGGCAACACACCCCTGTGCCCCCAATGACCCTCTCTGGGGGCCCAACACACCCCTGTGGCCCCAGTGACCCTTTTTGGGGAATAAATTCCCCCTGTGCCCCCACTGACCCTCTTTGGGGACCAAGGCACCCTTGTGCCCCCAGTGACCCTTTCTGGGGGATCAATGCCCCCTGTGTCCCCAGTGACCTTCTTTGGGGGCCCAACACACCCCTGTGCCCCCACTGACACTTTTTGAGGGATAAATGCCCACTGTGCCCTCACTGACCCTCTTTGGGGGCCAATGCACCCCTGTGCCCCCCGTGACCCTTTGGGGGGGGCGACACACCCCTGTGATCCCAGTGACCTTCTCTGGGGGCAATGCCCCAATGTGCCCCCACTGACCCTCCTTGGGGGGCAACACACCCTGGGCCCCCATCCCTGGGCCCCCACGAGACCCTCTTTGGGGACCCAACACACCCCTGTGCTCCCAGTGACTCTTTTTAGGGGATCAATGCCCCCCTGTGCCCCCACTGACCCTCCCTGTGGGGTCAATGCCCCCCTGTGCCCTGGGTTTGGGGGGACAGGGCTGGTTCATCTCACTGTCCCTTCTCCTGCCCCGGATCCCTGTTCCTGCCCGGGTTGGGGGGGTGGGATGGGACCCCCTCTCTCCTCAAATCCCTGATTTCCCTTCCCAGCCAAGTGGGTTCTT